GAATTTATGATTTGTAGTTTTGATGATTGGAAAAAAAATAGATAAAAAAAAGAGCTTTTTTTTTTGTAACCATAGAGTAAGATGTAATTTTCTAACTATACTTGTATTTGCTGCAAAATAAATTGGAAGCTGCTTCTTTCTATTTCTTTCATTCTTTCTTTAAAATGGTCATTTCCAATTTGCAGAGATAGCTCTGATTAGAACACATTGGGCTAAATAATGATAGGCTATAAAAAATTGCCAGATATTTTTTATCACTTAGATAAAAATGATAGGGAATTATACCTAAATGAGGTTTTGACATATAAAATAACCTGGTTAGTTCAAATTATTTAGACAGCTTTAATTACTGAGGAAGAGTGAGTTTATTTAATAAAGTCTGCTATGAGGACTCTGAAATTTTTAAGTATATGTCTTGGTGTATTATTATAAACGTGATATGGCAACAGTTGAGTTTCTTAGCTGAGTGACCTGGTAGATAGTTTTAAACAAAGACCATTTGGGCCACAAATGGCTAATATGGGCAAGTACATTTAGATGTGAAGTGTTAAATATTAAAAAAGAAATCCGTATATATACACACAGACACAAAATAAAATATGAACGTGATGGTAAAACTAGTGACTTTTTGTTATTCATACTGGAATAAGCCATGTTCCAGTTATATTGGAAGTTATACTTCAAATAAATAGCTTTTAAGAAACAAAATATAAAAATTCTTGATATGCTTTTTTTTAATGGGGACAATCTCCAAGCTTTTCTTAGATCCCTAAAAGTGCTTTTTAAAAATGATGGTACATTAGGAAATCTGTTTTTAAGTCATTAAGACTATCTAAATATTTTAATTCTTAAAATTTTATTTTCAGATTTTAGAATTTGAATCAAATATCTGTAGTTAGTAATGATGAAACCTTGGCCTTCAAAGAATAATATTTCAGTTGGGAGGCTGTTTTTAGTTACTGCTGTAGCTAAATGCTAAGTCACAAACCACATAGTTTCAGCTCCTTTTTTGGTGTTCCCTCTGTGGGAATTGAAGCCATGCCATGTTCCTCAATTCTGCTATTCTGTGACCCTGTGCTGGTTGCAGTTACTGGCTTGAAAGATTAAGTATCTTTGTGAGATAATTGGCTGCAACAGGGAGTTTTGTACCAGCATACATCTGTGTTGGATATAATGTTATAAAGAGGTTATGTTCAGTCTGATATCTTGAAGCACATTACACTGCAGTCTTCTACAAGGACATTCTCTCTCTTTCTGCATCGGCATGGAAGGAATGCATCTAGACAGAGAGCTGCTACCTGTATGTAAATATTTTTTTTTCCTTTTTATCTTTTCACATTGCTAGCATAGAGGTTATCCTTTGTAGTTTACCTTCCTAATATGCATAATTATTTATCCTCTGAAAAAAATTGTGCTAAATGTTTGTTATAGTAAATTTCAAACAGTGATGACATTCACAAAGAGAAATCCACCATCATAACCTTAATGACTTCTTATAAGTTGTTTTTAGATGAAGAAAGTTAAGTGCATTAAAAACCTTTGAATCAAATGTTTTTTGTATTGCATATTAGCTAACATCTCTTTAGTGAGGGATGGGGGAGGGATATCTATTATAGTGGCTTTTAGAATAGGAATTAATGGAGGACTATTTATCTAAGATATGTTTCCATTAAGATTTCTTCATCCTTCCTTTGCACTGCTTTCTTAAGACTGGCATATCTCATTTTTATATGCTATAAAAACACTATTGATTTTGTGTGTTTTGCTGTAGATGATTTTTACTGTGATAACACTATAGCTTGAATTCTTACTGAAAATGCTACCATGAGTATTTATATCACTAACAAATTCAATACAGATGTCATTATGAAAAAATAGTTAACATCTCAATAGGTAATAAAGGGGGGGGCATGCTTAATCAGAATAAATCTATTGTAGCAGTTGTCTGGAAATATGTAATTTAATAGGCTTATGGCATGAACGAAGGCATTTCTTTAACTCCCTTTCCTGCTATTTTCTTGTGAAAAGCTTATCCCTTGAGCTGCATTCTGTTCAGGTAGGAAAAACATACTTGTCTGCTATCATTTTTTTTCTGTACCAAGCAAAATAACATTTCAAGGTATGTAGTCAGTGAGGGAACAGAAGTTTCAGTGAGGAACATTGTAGTCTAAGTTAATATAGCCCTTCAAGTTACTATTTGAAAAAAAAAAAAGTTAGATGCAGTCACATATAATCTTATATCAGTTTTGCCCTTAAGATGGATTCTGATCCATTTTTAATATGGGTTATGTTATATCAGCTTATAGTCTCTCTTAATCATTTTAGAGGGTAGGTTACAAAAAATGTTTAATAATAAATAAATATTCAGTTGGATGCCCACAATCAATCAAATGGAACTTGAAGCCTGATGGAATACCAAGGTATTCATGATTTTCTGGCATGTAAGAAAAGACAGTACTTGAGCCTTTAGGGGAAGCATGTTCCATAGTGCAGGAGACACCACAAACAAGACCTGGAATCTCATCCATGTCCTATGAACCTCCCAAGGAGGAGGGGCTTTCAGAAGGCTATCTTGAGACGACTGGACTGAATGAGCAGAGTCAGCTATAGCAAGGTAGTGCCTGACATAATGCAGTGCTATGCTGTAATGACTTTTTATAAGGGATAATTACCACTCTGAAGTGGTCTCAGAAGCTAATGCAAAGCCAGTGCAGCTACCTCAAAATTAGTGTTATTGCAGTGGCAGGATTTTTCCACCAGCAGTCTGGCTGCTACCTTCTGCACTGATTGGAGCTACAACATCTCCAAAGAATGAGGTGCCTTCTTGGAGTAAAGTCTTGAGATTTTGGGTGTAATGCATATACATACACTTTTGTACATTATGTACAGTTTTATACATATAGTTCATGCCCAGACAGAATTTGTATGTATAAAACTAAGAGCTACTTCAAGTTCTGCATGTACCTACAAGGATATGGCTCTTATCTTTCCACCTCAATTTCTCTTTAATCACAGCAATGGTAACTTCATGGAGAGTGTTCTCTGGAAATTTTGTTACCTGAGGAGACTGAGCTGATTCTTCCACTTTATTTTTGCTTGATTTCCTTTTTAATTACTTATTTTGACTTGTGGATATTCATAAGGAACAATAAATCCTTAAACATAGGAAAGATGAAGAAGGACACTCCTAAGTTATCACAAGCCCACTTATGTTGAAAGGTTGTCTATCCTGTATTGGTTCCAGTATTCTGTAATGGAGATTTCTGAGTTTGTTTGAACTGTTGCTTTGATTCTATGAATACTGATTCTCCCCCACACTCACCTTGATTAATGAGCCAAGAGGCTTAAAAGATCTGTGGCTTTCTCAGGAAAGCAGGTTACTAGCATGAGTATGAATCTTTAGAACAGAATGGGAAACTGTATTGAAGAAAGAGTACTTGACAATAAAGAAGAAAACTTGCTCTTTTAGCATTAAGCTGATAAAATTAAGAGGAACGATAATAGAAATGCCAGTACTTTTGACAGTTTAAAGCTGCAGAAGGCATTTAAAAGCAGTTTAGATGTAGCCTTGATTACTATTATTCCCTCATGTATAACTTGGTAAATCAATGAAAATACAAGGGAAAAGATAAAATAATTGGATGAAAAGACTGGTGCAAAATTCAATTGAAGAGCTTTGTAATATCTGGGAAATTTCTAAAGGGGAGAGGTTTGTTTACAAATCAGGTTTATCCATTTTCTTTATGAATTATGAAATTGGTTAGAGGTGCTTTGTGAACTGTTATTTTCAGAGTACAAGATATATGTTCTACAACTATAATTTTTGAAGTGACTTAACAGAGATGTGCTGTAGGTGAACATTGGAAAATGTGTAAGACACTGTGTATTTAGTTCAGCTTTTTGATGTGTGAAAAATTCAAGCTGTGTTAACTTTAATTTGTTCCTAGCTTGCTAGACAAGATGCTCACAAGAAACTATTAGCAAATCCTAGCAAATATTTTATAAGTGTTAAGCAGCTAGATACCAAATATGTTTTTGTTAAATACATGTTTTATAAAACATCAACATCAGAGTAGATTTGGATGGAAATTAATATCTGATAGTTTTGTGTCTAAATATTGCAGAAGCAATCATTCTTATGATTGTTTGAAACATTTCATCTGATGGATAGGTAGATGATCTGAGAATGTTCTATAAATCTGGATTTGCAAGCGTGATAAAATCAAGGCTCACAGTTTAGCAAAACTAATTAAACTGTCATGCTATTAGTTCATGTTACATTCAGATGAAAGCCAAGATTCTACCCTTGTTTCTAATTCTCTGTTGCTGTTGATGCAGTGGGAAGCTCTCAGTTGTATTGTATTACATCAGATGTTTATATTAAAAAGATATTACAGGGAATACATGGGGGAAAATTATGTGCCTACTGTTAGTTAAGGATCCCTTATAATGTATATTTTTTGCTTAGACCTTGAAAGATACCTTAGTTGGAAAAAATATGCATATTTGGGGGGAAATTGGTGAACGTATTAGTTACTTGTTCTGCTGGCTAACTTTTCCTACTATGACTTTCTAAAGTATTTGAATAGTGCAGTAGTTTCCATAGTTCTCAAAGTTAAAAGGACCATAACCTTCATGAGACTGGAAACTGATGTATAATAATTTTGGATAATACTTATTTAAAGTGAAGTTGCCACTAATGAAATATGTACAGAAATAGTTCATTAAACTATTAAACTTATTAAACAGCCGAAATTAGTCATAGATATGAATGATTAACAGTTCATGGTATGAATATTCTGTACTCTTATAAAAGAGAGAAAGTTTCTTTAGAAAGACTGTGTAATTACATACAAGGCTGTTGTTTTTATATATTTTGGCCACAGAACATGACAATACTATCAGTATTTACATATACCTGAATTTGTTCAACACACACAATTGGAGGCTGGATGGCTGCTGCTGAAAGGTATCCAGAATCTTCAACGGGTTTGTAATGTGCTGGTCAGGCAATTAATAGTGTCACATTCATAGCATGTGGTTTTCTTACTGAAAAAAATAATAGTTTGTTGTATGTCATCTGCTGTGCTAATCTTTAAAGTCCTTTGCAGTTTGGGAATAGAATAGTTGAAGGACTAGGCAAATGCAAACTTTGTCTATCTGAAGAATTTTACATTCCTTTTTATTCTGGACTCTGCCAAACTCCTTCTGAAACCTGCTGTGGTGGGGACAATTTAACAGTTACTTAAAGTAAATCATCTGAACAAGAAGTGGGTTGGTCCAGCCTGTTTTGGGGCTAGACTACCCTCCTGGACCATCTTAAGTCATTTTCAGTTTGGAGTATTTATTTCCTGAAACAACTATACCAGGTTATTTTTAAAATTTATTTTATTTGACTAGGCTGATATACCACTCCAATCATGACTTACTCTAAGTGGCTTACAGACTTCCAAGCAATAATAGCATTAAAAACAATAGTTCCATTCTCTCAAATATTCTGTTCCTGGATTAATAAATTTTGCATATCCCTATGGAAGATCTATAATTACATCTATTAGGTGTCTTATATTAATTGAGAAAAGACAGAAGTGATCTGCTCAGACTTTGAAATTTCTTTCAAGGGAGAGTCATCTTGCTGCCTCTTGAATGACTTGTAAGCTGCATTGTGATTAATGGACTGCATTTCCCATCACTTTTTTAATTGGCTATACTGGCTAGAGCTGATATGGATTGTAGTGTAAAATTTCTAAGGGCATTAAGGTAAGGTTGTGGTGGGGTGAACTGAACCATGAGTAGTTCAATAAATTAAATCTAAATGTTTTTAGGAATTTGAAAAGAGATATGGGGTGTTGAACTAATTACATAACTTCTGAAAACAATATGCTGAGTATAAAGTGATTCAGGCTTTTTAAAAATTTTTAAAATGAATAATGGGTTTGGGAGTCTTGGGAATGTCATTACTTTCAGAGGATTACAAAGAAAAAATGAATAATTATTATTTGAGGGACTGCCTCTCCCTGATTACATCAGCCTGTCCCATTAGATCCGGCAGGGAAGGTATGCTATATGTTCCAGTGGCCAGGGACTGGTGTTTGGTGGAGGCCATGCACACCATTCCTTCTCCAAATCATGCGCCCCATTCTCTCAATCCTTCAGAATGTGCCCATTCTTGTGAGACCCACGGAAAACCAGAAGGTTTCCAAAGGATCACAAGAATGGGGCGCGCGATTTGGAGAACGAATCACCGCAAGAACGAGCCTCCTGCCATTCTCCAAATAGCGTACCCTTTCTCATGAGACC